TAGAATGTGGTCAGCAGATGCCAAGTGACTGCTAGCTGGGGCTAAGCCTTCTTTCAGCATGATAGGATATTCTGGAATTAGATGGGGATGACAGCTCTCCAATTTTGTGAGTGTACTGGAAACCTGTGACTCGCACACTTTGCAAGAATCAACTCTGGGTCCAGCACTGTGGTATAACAGTCTTTCACCTATGGCACTGACATCCCATATGAACCCTGGTTTGAATCCCGGCTGTTGCACTTCCAATCCAAGTCCCTGCTAATGGCCCGGGAAAGCAGCAGAAGATGGCCCAAGTGCTTAGGTGTCTGCCACCCAGGTGGGAGATCCAGAGGAAGCTCCTGGCCTCAGACCGGCCCAGCTCTGGCTGTTGTACTTAGGTATAAGAGGTCCTCGAACCATCCTCCACTGCTTTCCCAGGTGCCTTAGCAGGGAGCTGAATCAGAAATGGAGCAGCCACGATTCCAACTGGCATTCATATGGGGTGCCAGCATCTTAGGTGGTAGCTTTGCCTTCTATGCCTCGGTACTGGCCCCAAGGACCCTCTTGCCTTGATGCTCTTACCTTCTGCCTTCTCTCCAGGCTCCCTGTTGCTCTTCCTCTAGACCCATGGCATCCAAGGCTGGGGTCTGTCAGCAAGTGGCTTGTCCCCAGGAAGCCAGACCGTAAAGAAACAAGTTGGCTTACATACAACTTGCATGCAGCTCCCAGGGACAAGTCTGGAACCAGTGTCCACCTGGCTGGTTCTGGTCCCTAGGAAAGCTCGGGCACTTTCAGATGGCTGAGTGTCCCTGCTAATATGGCTTGTTCATCAGTTCCAGCTGGCTCTGCCTGAAGACTCGTGGCCTCAGTGCACAGGGCTTGTCAAGGACTGTCACAGGTGTCGACTGTGGTGAGAGGGTTTTGGGCAGCCATAGCCCTTTGGCTGCAGTCTCTTTTCAAAACTTTGAGACCTCCCGCTCCGAAGCACTGTTTCTGCTTGCCCAGCAGCCTGAATGGTGCCAACCCTGCCCACCACCCGGTGACCGTGGGGGGCTGCTGGCACTGATTGCATGCTAAGTGTTAGGGTCCGCTGGAAGTTTCCAGACTCCCAGCTCATGCCTACAGCAAACCCTCCCAGGTGGGTAGAGGGAGCTTCTCACGCCTCCTGGAACCGAGGCAGCACCACTGCCCCATCTCATGGATGTGGAAACTGAGGTAGGAGAGGCTGTAAGAAAGACCAGGTGGACTCTGCCTCCCTGTACCTGTGTGTTCTCTTCTTTCCAGGGCTCAGAATGTTTGCTTTAAATCTGCCAGGGCAGAGCTGAACATCCCCTGAAGCTCGCCTTCCCCTGCTGGACCCTTCTGGTAATGCACTTCCTTCACAACCAGTGCAGGGTCCTTCCTGATGTATGTCATATTCTGATAGAAACCTCTGTCTTTGGTCGCTCATCCACCACAGCAGAGTCATAACAGAAGTACTAGCTTCTCCCGCACCACCTGACCCTCCCTCCCCGGGCTCTGCCCACAAACAGCTCCCCTTCCAGCTGTGGAGCAGGGCACAGGCCAGGAGCTGCTGTGGTCCAGCCACCTGCTGACCTTTGCCTGCCTCCCCCCTGCTCTCAGCCACTGTATACCCTCTGTCCTTTGTCCTGCTCCCTCCATTCCTACAGCTCCTTTGAGCTCAACTCTCCTAGCATTATCCCCACCGAGGGAGTCTTCCCATGAGGAAAGGAGCTGAGCCCCCAGAGACCTGCTGGCCTGGGGGTGGTGGGACTCCTGTGGCAGGGCCTGTCTCCTTTGCTTCTTTTAGCTGGTGAGCTAGGAGTACCCTGATGTTAGCAGAGATGCAGGATGGCCCCCACACTGGTTCCCACAGCGTGTGCTGAGACTCCTGGCCATGACTATTGTACTCATCTCTGGATGGCAAATGGGAGCTTGGCCATGGGCCTCATCTGCAGAGAATGGGTACCTGCTGGCAGGTGCTTTACTGGCTAAGTCATAGCAGCTTAGGTTGGGGCACAGGGGGAGCTGAGACATAGAGGAGGCTTTCTCTTGAAGACCTTCCTGGAGCTGGGGGTGCTTAGTTCTGGGGGAGCTGACACAGAGGGAAGGGTACTGTCACTACCTGCTCTCTGTGGCCTTGACCTAGTTTCTTAAAGTGAGGGTCCCTGGACCAGGCCCCAGTGCAAAGGTCTGGGTACTGCTTCTTCCATCTGCTTTACAGATGACCGGTGACCTGTGAGATGGCCAGTGACCTGGCTATGGGCCCACAGCAGCTATCATTCAAATCCTTGCTTCCTAGGCTTCAGACTGTCTAGACCCAAGGCTGGCTGCAGAGCCCAGCCTGAGAATCCTTGCCAAGGGGATTGTGTTGTCCACTAGCCGTACAGACCTCTAATGGTCGTCAGCAAGCAGAGGAAGTGAGCTCCCCATCAGAGCAGGTATGCAAGCAGGCCTGAGGTAAGTCACCTCCAGAACGGCCCTAGGACCCAGAGCACTCCCCTCTGTGGCCCCACTGCTCCTCACCTACATGTGGATGGAGCCATACTTCCTCACACAGACCTGTGGAAGTGGCAGGCATGGCATGCACGCAGCCAGGGCCCTCCTGACAGACCCTCTGTTGGGAGCAGGAGGGGTCCAGACTGAGTGTTTTGGGTCCAGAACATGCTTGGTTCCAGTCCTTCTTGGCTTTCCTTTTGCTGGACCCGACCACACCCTGGGCTCCAGGGGACCCGACCACACCCTGGGCTCCGGGGGTCCTTCCTGGCCTAAGCCCAGGATCAACAGGCAGCTCTCTGAAGTGGATGAGCCAGGACGACCAGGGTTGCTCTGGGGGCTGGGAGACTGAGGCTCAGGAAGAGCTGGGAGCGCTGGGGTCACCCACACTGTAAGGCGCACATTGTCTTTAGGGAAGACAAAAAGATCCTTGCCTTGTTGCTTCCTCTGCCTGTGAGTCTCCCCTTACCCCTGCAACCAAGCCAGGGAGATTCCCTGAGGTCTTGTGGTACAGCCGCCTGCTGTCCACTTCCTCCTGGCATGGGCTCTGGGCTCAGGCCTGTCTAGCAAGGTAGATGTGGGATAAGAGAACACACGTGGCAGTGCCAACTGCTTAGCATGCTGCCGAACAGCCACATCTCTGGGGGAAGAGTCCTGGCTGGAGGCGCTTGCCAATTTCCACAGCATGAACACTCAGCGTGGCTGACCTCAGGCTGCAGTGTGGCATTGCCAAACTCAAAGCTGGGATGACATGTGCATACGTGGCCGTTTGCCTCAGGCTCAGCCAGCAGCAGTACCTGCTGCCAGTGTCCAGCAGGCCCCAGGAAATCCTGCTGCCCTCGGGAAGGGTTGGCTCGGCACACACTCTGCCCTCTGGTCCCAGTGCCTTCATACCGGCCTTCATGTCATGTGAGGGACTTCATGCCAGGGTGCCAGGGCTGGCAGCCGCCAGGTACCCTTTCCTGTGCAGATGCTGGGGTCTGCCAGGGTACCCCATCAGGGGTGGGGATCCATGTGACAAAACCTTGGTGCCTCCCTCAGGCCTTGGCACTCTCCTCTGAAAGTGGGTCCTAGGACTGTGTGCCATGGGATGGCAGAGGTGGGGGCAGGGTGAGGTGTCAGTTGGGGGACTTGTCTGGATCAGGCTTCTAAGGAGCAATGGGCACAGTGTGACAAGGACAGAGACCCCCAAGTGAAGGACTTGTCCCTAGGAGTCAACAGCAAGAAGGCAGAGGGAAAGATAACATGAGGTTCCCTGGAAGAGGTGGCTTTGGGCAGAGGTGGGTGGGGAGGAAAGACACTCTAGTCAATTGGCTTCGGGAAGCCTCTGCATGCCCTTATCCAAAGCAGCTTCTTTTGCAGGAGCTCTGGGATTTATGGCAGGTAATCGCTGCCTTAGGGGCTTCAGCTTACTGTACTGTAAAATGGGTGCAATGAGCGCAAGATGCCACCTCCTGGGTTATGGTGAGGTGCTCTTAGATCTGCTGGCGGGGTGACAGGGAAGGGATTCCAATCTTCCGCTGAAATGGGTTGGGGCTGAGTGCCTGAGGATATTCCAGCTCTGCGCCTTGCCCAGCCTGGCTGTTCTGTCCGTGCACGGTGGGTCGTGAGCCGGTTTTGGTCCCACGGCTCCCGGAGCTCCGGCGGCTGGGGGCGCTGCGAGGCGGAGAGCCGTGCAGGGGCCGGCCCGCAGGTGGTTTGCGCGCGTCTGCCGCCAGGTGGGCGTGCAAGGCCCCGCCTCGCCGGGAGGGGCGGGCCGAGCCGAGGCCGCTCCCCCAACGCGCCCGGTCGGAGCGGGTGGTGCGGGAGCGGAGGCGCGCGGAGCCGGCAGAGCACGCGGGAGCGCGGTCCCGCAGCGGCGGGTCCAAGGAGCTGTGCGCAGGAGACGGAGCAACGCGGCGGCACCCGCCCAGTGCGGGCCCCCGCCCAGAGACCCGGGCCCCGAAGCGGAGACCTCGGCTCCGGAGCGCAGACCTCGGCCCCGGAGGGCAAGACCCCGACCGCGGAACACAGTCTCTCGGTCCCGGAGCGCAGACCCGGCCCCGGAGCGCGGCCTCGCCCGCCCCGGCCGCCCGGCCGCGGGCATGGACGGCGCCCGCTCGCCCTGTGAGTGCCGACCCCCGCCCGCCGCCTTTGTGTGCGCGCCGCGCCGCCGCCGCCGCAGCCCCCTCCCTGCGCCCCTCCCGCGCCCGGGCCCGCGTCCTTTGTGGAGCCGCCGCCTGGCCGGTGCCTCCCCCCACTTGGAGCCTCCCTGTCCCTTCTGCTGCCTCCCTCAGGACAGCCTAGCGGGGCCCTTCTCGACCCGGGGCTGGGCAGGGCGCTGGCCCACTCCCCCCGGCCTCCGGGTTCCTTCTGCAGCCCTTTGGGGACCCCCCAGCAGGTCCTTCCCAAGGTTCCCCGGACGGCCCAGGGAAGGCTTTCTCGGCGGCCAAGGCTGAGCCCTAACCCGAACCTCCTGGTCCTTTCCGTAGCCTCTTCCTCGGGTCCCCCGGGGACTGGCTGCCCGGGCGGTCCCTCCGCGGCAGGGCTGGGCAGGGCGCGGGCCGGCGACGCTGTCTCATCCGCGCCGGGCAGGTGCGGCAGGGCGGGCGCTCACGCGGGCCCGTGCGTCCTTGGCCCGCAGAGATGGACGGCGATGGCGGCCGAGGCGCCCCCGGCACGTTGACGGAGGCCGGGCTCCGGGGGCCGGCGGGCATGGCGGAGCCGCGGGCGAGGGCGGCGCGGCCCGGGCCGCAGCGCTTCCTGCGGCGCAGCGTGGTGGAGTCGGACCAGGAGGAGCCGCCGGGCCTGGAAGCGGCCGAGGCGCCGAGCGCGCAGCCCCCGCAGCCTCTGCAGCGCCGGGTGCTTCTGCTCTGCAAGACTCGCCGCCTCATCGCTGAGCGCGCTCGCGGCCGCCCAGCCGCCCCCGCGGCTGCTGCGCCGCCCGGAACCCTCGCCGGCCCCGGAGCCCCCACGGACCCGGGGCCGGAGCCCGAGCGCACGCAACAGCAGCAGGCTAGCCCCGACCCCTGCGCGGCTGCGCCTGCTGCCGAACGGGCCCCGGCCGGCGGCCCTCCAGAGGAGCACGGGGCTGCCGGCGTGGGGTCTGCGGGGCAGGAGGATGCGGGGGTGGCCGAGGCCAAGCCCGACCAGGGGGAGTCCGGGCGCGCTCGGCGGGAGGAACCCGGGGAAGAAGAGGACGACGAGGATGACCTCAAGGCTGTGGCCACCTCCCTGGACGGCCGCTTCCTGAAGTTTGACATCGAACTGGGCCGCGGCTCCTTCAAGACGGTCTACAAAGGGCTCGACACGGAGACCTGGGTGGAGGTGGCCTGGTGCGAATTGCAGGTGAGCCAGCGGCAGGTGGGCTGGTCAGCTCCTCTGTCCTTGAGCGCGTCCTTCTGGCTGGCCTTTGGAAGCCCCTGTGGGTTACCCACTGTGGGTGGCTGGCAGGGGGTACCAGGTGCCAGTGCATAAAGGGGAGGGGGCGTGCTGTCTGCTACCCTAGGGGTGTGCACCTGCCTCTGGGTGTACACTGCGCTGAGTGGAGAGTGTGACTTTCGCGAGCTCTTTCCCACCTGACTCACCCAGGTGGGCTGCACTGCTGCTTTGGGTTAGGAGACTGTGTCTGGGTTCCACCTGGCTCACCCAGGTGGGCTGCACTGCTGCTTTGGATTAGGAGGCTGTGTCTAGGTTCCACCTGATACCCAGGTGGGCTGCACTGCTGCTTTGGGTTAGGAAGCTGTGGCTAGGATCCCTGCGAGTGACCAGGCAGTTCTGAGCTGCCTTGAAGTGTGCCATGTCCAGTCAGGGTACCTGCAGGGCATTCCTTTGAACCTAGCTGCCATGGTGCATGGTGGGGTCCTGGGTCCGCTGGGCCAGGCCGCCTTTCAGAGTTTCATGGTTCTCAAAATGGATGTGTGAGGTCTTAAAACCAACTCATGCAGAAGGCGGCTGGGCCGCGTCCATCACCTTGCCCTCATGCCGGGGAGATTATATAAAAGGCAACCCTAGCCGGCAGGGCCAGCTTTGGAAGAGGAGGCAGGTCCTGTCACTGGGGTGTTTATGGGTCCTCCCTTGGCTGGGGGAGGGGAGGAAGGCAGCTGTCCTGCAGGGCTGGCCTGGGAGTCTGGCTGGACGTGTAAGCCTACCCTGCTGGCCTGTAACGTTAGCTGGTTTTCCAGGGCTGACACAGGCTGGGCGAGCTGGGGCAAGCTGGGTGCTAGGGCTACTGGCCACGCTGTGGACTGTCTATGTTCTGGCTCACAGCTAGGACTCAGACCCCTGCAGGGTGTGCCGCCAGTCTGCCGGTGGGTGGGTATATCCACCTGCCATTCTGCCAAGACAAAAGACCCCTGGCCTCCCCTTGGCCCTGCAGCCCTCCTCGACAGGCTTAGTGGTGTCAGGCTTAGTGGTGTCCTCTGCTAAGAGGTCTTCCTGGAGGGGCTGAGGACCTCCTGTTTGCCTTCTGGGTCCCTCTAAGGAGGCAGCCTCCGGTTTGCATGATGGGGGCTGCGGTCTGGGGGCAGGGGACTTCCTGCTGTGGGAGGGGGCAGAGGGAGGAGGGGGTTGAGGGAGGAGGAGCAGGGCATTTACGCTTGAGTCCAGTGCAGTGTCTCAGTGACTGCGGGAGTGGGGACGGTCCAGGGCTACCCCTGCAGCGGCCGAGCCTGCTCTTGAGGCTTCCTAAGTCCATGTGACTCACGGAGCGTGGCAGCTCCCCTTCCCTTTAAGGAAAGGCCAGCCGTTCTGTCTGGGTCTGCCTGCTGTGGGCAGAGCCGCATGGGGTGGGGCCTGGCTGCCGTCCAGGGGTCCCTAGCTGCTCACCGCTCACGTGCAGCACAATGCATCCTTAGGAGTGAGTGCCCTCTGCTTGGTCATTGTGACTGGAGCCACAGTGAGAGGGGTCTGGGCCAGGGGTGGTAGAAGGGGGGGACACCCCCTGGCTAATCCCCTGCTGCCATGGAGGATGCTGTGGAGCTCACCCCCAGGCCACTGGCGAGGAGGAGGCCACAGGTTTGGGAAGGTGTGGAGGGCTGGGCGGGGCTGACTTGGTGGGGAGGGGCCTGTGGTATCCTGCGTGTGGGGACGTGACTGGGGGAAGTGGAGGGTGGCTGGGAGTCCATAGGCTGTAGTTCCCCAGAGCAGGGCACAGAGGAAGTCGGGGGTAGGGATCAGCCCTCATGGCACCCTGTCACCCAAGGATGTGTTGGTGCTGTGGCTGGGGACGGGCCTTCTGGGGGATATTTCTGGCACCTTGGGCTCCTGGGGAGGAGTGTCAGCAGAGCGCTGCCTTCAGCCAGGGCAGCTTGGATGTTGTCGCTGCTTCCCCAGAGCACCTCAGGACCCGGGCCCTTCCCCAGCTCGGGCTCAGCACCCAGGTGCCTGTGGCTCCCTGCTCCCTCCCCACTCCGGGCACCTTCCAGTGAGTCAGGCCAAGGGGCTATCTCATTTTCTACAGCAAACAGGGGAGCTATTTCACCTTTGCAAGTCTGTCTTAATGTCTGAAGTTGAAACTTGAACTGGGGTTTTCAAGAGAAGCCTTTTTAAAGCGTTACTTCCCTGTCATTTTTCTTTTGAATGAACTTTTGTTCTCCGTGCCAGGGCACAACAAGGAAGGAAGGAAGGAAGAGCGCCCCTAGAAGCCCTCTGCTCTCGCCCTCTCACCTTCCCTGTCTTGGTCCTGCTTGGGGGTGTGTATGTGCCGTGGCTTGGGGCACCCTCTTGGCTTTGCGAGTCACCAAAGGCGGCGGGGGGAGCAGATGTGGGCTCCCCCTGAGTGTCTTCCTGGCCTTTCACCAGGCGTGGAGTGAGGGAATTGCCTGGTGCTGATCAACCCTAGTACATCTCAGCCGTTCACTGTGCAGGCCCCCTTGAGTGGACCTGCAGCCCCAGGCCTCCCCTGGAAGGCGCTGACAGGCTGCAGTGCTTGTTCCAAGATGGTGCTCTGTGCCTGGCATGGGGTCTGTCTACCCAGAGGAGATTCTCAGGCCTTGACTCTGGGCCCTCAGCACTTGTCAGGCCTTTGCAGGGTGACCTGAGTCCCTAGGTAGGGGGAGCTGCTGCCGTTAGGCCCAGGTCTAGTGGCTAGGGACAGAGGTGCCCAGGGAGCCCGGGGCATCAGTGGGGCTCGTCGTTGCTGGGCATTACCTGGTGAGGGCTGGGCTCCCAGGGCGGCCGTGGCTGTATTTGAGGGGTTCTGTGCTCCCGCGTTGTCCATCTCTGTTGACTTTTCCATTATGCGCGGGCCTGGCCAGGGGTGTGCAGCCCGTAATGAAGCCTTTCCCTGGCCTGGGCTGCCGCACTCATCTTGGCCAGCTGTAAGCTCGTCTCTGAAGGTCTTGCTTGGAGACACACCCTCCTCCCTCTCCCTGATCACTGCCCTTCCTGACAGGGGCTGCAAGGCAGCAGGGAAAGGAGGAGGCCCTGCCCAGGGTCTCATTTCCTGGTGCTCGGCTTTGTTGGGAGAGCTGTGATGTTGTTGGTGTGCCTGGCAGTATGTTTTGTGGGCTTGCTGACCATGTGTTGGCTGGGTTGGCAAGAAAATTGGCACTGGCCACCGAAAGGCCCATGGAGGGGGCTCTTCTGCCCTTGTTCCAGGTGTGAAAGCTGTGGCTGTCTGGGCACTGGGTGCCCCTCCTGGCCTTGAGTGGTGTTGGGAGGGGTGTGTGGTTAGTGGTGTGGTCAGCAGTGATTGATGACTGGTTGCCCAAACTGCAGCCACCTCATGGGGGTGCGTGGCATCTCAGGAACCCACAGCTCATTGCTTGGGGGTGCGTGGCATCTCAGGAACCCACAGCTCATTGCTTGTTGGAAGGGGGAGCTCTTGTGCCCAGGACTGGGCCTTCGCGGGGCAGGGGTTACCTGGTTGAGCCCGAGTGAGGACAGACTGCTGTGTGAGTTGGCCTCTGTGCCCCAGGGAGCGCCTAGTGGGTGGCGGGTCGGCATGTGCTGCTTGCGTGGCTCGATGCTCAAAGAGGCCTGCCCCAGGCAGCTGGGGGGAGCCTCCTGTGGCCGTGGCAGCGGTGTGTCTATCTCTGTCCTGTCCCTGTGTGCCCTGTGGAGTGCGAGTTGGGATGGAGTAGTAGCTCAGCACCTGTGCTCTCAGTTAAACACAAGCGACTGCCCTCTGGGCTGGCGAGGCTCCCGGTTCGTTCCCAGAGGATAACACCGGGCTCAGGTGACCTAGAGATGATCACCAGGACGCCAGACAGAGCAGCTAGGGACCAACTGCAGCCTGGCTCATGGGGAGGGGCAAGGAAGGGCTGGGAATGCGTGACTGGCCCTGACAGCATCCACGGAGGACAGGAGGGGTCTTTTGGGCTGGAGGAGGTTGGGTCAGGGGCCACTTAGGTTCTGGAATGAACCATAGCCAAGACCATGACAGGCCATGGATCACCCAGGGCATCCACAGGCAGGCTTCCTCACTGTGTGAGGATAAGGGGAGGAGTGAGTATTCCAGAAGGTTCTAGAGGTGAAGTCCCAGGCCCAGGTTCAGTAGTGCAGGGTGGTGTATGTGACTCAGTGAACGCTCTAAGGTGTGTCTGTGTTCCAGGCTGTGGGGTGCCACAGCGAACTGGACAGTCTGCCATCCTGGGAGCTAGAATGTCTGAGGGATATGAGAATGGTGGGTGTGACACTGCCGGGGTAGAGAGCCAGGTCCTCCAAGTCCTCGGTCCTCGGAGAAGGCCTGGGGGAGGGAGCTCCCTGAGGCAGGAGCTCCTACAGGCTGCCCTGGGCAGGTGGGAGCTGGCAGAGCGGGTCTGGGATTGGATTCTGGCTGCGTTCAGAGGGAGAGATGCAGGATGTCGAGCAGGCTGGATTTGGGGGCAGAGAAAGTCGGCATCGGAGGGGCCGCAGTGGACATGACAGCTGACCCCTGCGTGGATGAGGGAGTGGTGACCATGGTGTGGTCACCCACCTTCTGGGCACTCCAGGGGCTTATCCTTTGGGCATCCTTCAGTCTGCATCTGAAAGATGCCCGAGGTGATGGCTTAGATGCCTGTCGCTGCCTTGATGGAGGAGAGCTTGGGTTGGCCCAGCAGAGGTTTGTGCCACCTGCCTGGCAGAGAGGTTTACATGGGATATTGGCATCTACCTGCAGTGGTGGGAAAGGGGCTTGGGAGGTTTCCTGAAAATACTCTGGGGGGAAGGGGGGAGGCCTGCAGTTTCCTAGTGTCCTCTCGGAGCCCTGTTCCCCTTGGTGCCCTGGGGATGGTGCCAGCTGACCCTCAGGGTTCTGGGGCTGAGGAGGGGCCAGTATCGCTCCCCGGTACAGAGAGCTTCCCCAGCTGCTGCTGCTTCTCTGCACGGTTGACACTTGTCAGCACAAGTCAGAAGCAGGGGCA